CTTCTCCCATTTCTGCCCCAGTCTGAGCCCCATCGCCTTTTGCCCAGACGACCGCAGTGGCTTCATACCAGCTCCTGCCTCCACACTTGCTCCCTCCAGCTTGACCTCAATGCAGAGTGCAGGGTCATCATTTAAAAGGTGGGGCAGATCATGCCACTGACCTCCTCCCCCTCCCTCGTGGACAGTATCTCCTGCTACTTCTCTCTCCTACGCCGCCCCAGCCGGACTGGTCTCCTCACTGCCCCTCGTGCTTTGTACACTCCAGACCCACTGATGCATCCCCATCAGCCGCATGGCTGATGCTCATCTCCTTCAAGACGGGGCTCAAATGTCACCTTCTCATGGACCCTGGCTCCCCGCCCCTAGCACTCCCAACCATGCCTGCCCTGACCTCCTCTTCCCATCGCACTCACTACCTCTTTGTATATTAAATAATTTACTCGTATATTAGGACGATTATTAACTTTTGTCTTCTTTCCTGCCTTCACTGGAATTTATATTTCATGAAGGCAGAAGGTTCGAACTATTTTCTCTTCCAATTTATCCCAGTTGCCTTGAAACAATGAATGGGCACTCAGCAAAGATCGGATGGATGAATAAATGGTGACCCCACATCTTGACATCTGCCCCTGCCCCCCTGGGAGCTCATGGACTTAGTCACCGAGGTCTCCGCATGGTGATCCACAGACCCCTCAAATCCAACACGCTGAAAACCAAGCTCGTTGTCTTCGTCTTTTTCCGCAAATGTGTTTTTCCCCTCTATACCCAAACCCTAATGAAGGCAGACGCCTAGAAGACACCTTGAAATTCTCCATCTATGGGGGCATCTCATAATGTTGGGAGCTGAAGTGGGCGCTTCAGGAGGAATCGTGTCTGAGCCAGGATCTGGAGGATAACCGAGTTCCGCCCGGAGACAGGGAAGCAGAGGTACTTAAAGTCGTCAGGTGCTCTTGAAGGACCGAGCATGGTTTCTCAGGCAGGATTCTGTGTTCATGAGGGGACAGGAGCAGGACAGGCAGCTATGGCACCAGAGGGGCTGGCTTGGGAGGGTGGAATCAGTACTGAGAACGTTTGCTGACCCGTGTGGGAGAGCGATTTGATGCCATTCTCTGCCATGCGGAAAATGGACCCGATGGAGGCAGGAAAGAGTGGATGGAGACTAGTTAGAGGGCCGTGACAATAACTCAGGGTGTGGGTATGGACGCTGAACGAGGGTGGGCTGAGTGGAAGCCCGTGAGTGTGGAGACCAGAGAACTGACTCTGAGACATTTGGATGTGGAATGAGTCAGCCCCTGCGCTGGCTTGGCCGTGGAGGTGAGGAAGAGGGACGAATGTGAGCCGAAGCTTGGTTTCTGGCCCCCAGGCCGCGGGGTACACAGTGGTGCCATTTCCTGAGATGAAGAACAGAAGGATGGTGTGAACTCTGTGACCAGGGGAGGTCTCTGGCAACTGGCTGGACACGTGAGTGGGATCTGCAGAGAGACAAGGGGAGGGCTGGAGTCAGCAGATAGGGATGACAGTTGAAGACATGGGAGTGGGTGCGTTTGCTCTGAGCATGGACAGTGAGAACAGAAGGCTGGGGCTGCCGTGCCGAACACAGAAGCAAAGGCGAGGGGAAAAGGAACTGAAAAGTGTGCCCGGAATTAGTAACATGTTGCTCACTGGCACCTGTGGGACAGCCAGTCTGATGTGCTTGGGGACAGCAGCCAGGTGGCAGTGGCAGAGGGGGAGGCAGGAACAGAGACTATGACTGTAGGTGAGAATGTATGAACGAGAGGGAGGAGGGCTCCACGGAGACACTTCTTTTTTCCTGTAAAATGTGAAGCCGCAGAGATGTATAATCACTCAGCAGAGGCAACAGGAAAGCAGAGCAGACGCAGGAGGAAGGGAAGGGGGACGTGTGCACCCAAGGAGACGGGGCAGGGGGGCCGAGAGCCGCAGAGAGAGACGCTTCTCCGCTATCTGTAGTTTATACTGTTTTCATTACTGAAATTGTGTATTTGTATTTTCCTGTTTATTAAAATAGCTAAAGCTTTGTCCGTTTTACCCTCCTCCACTCTGAGCCTGCCTCAGAATCAGTTCTTGTTGCTATTGATAGATTCTATTCTTTTTCCTAACAAATTAAAATTGATATTTTTCCTTTTCTTTCTTCTGCTTTCCTTGGATTTCCTTAACAATTTTTCTCACTTTTTGAGTGGAATGCTTAAATATGTTTTCCTTCTTTCTGACTAAACAATAAAAGTGATTAGCACCACAGAATTGCCCATGCATACCAGCCTGGCCGTGTCACACGTGGATAGTGCTGTCATTGTCCTTACCCTGTCCGTGGTCCGGAACCCCGGCTCTGCTGTCCTCACTGACTTAGCATCAGTTAGTAGAATACTTCCTTTCTTTCCTACTTGGTTAGGAGTTGTGTTTACTCTGATGTGAACTGATTTCAATTTTTCATTCCATTGATTTTAAGAAATTAGGGAATCTATGATGTCTACTTTGATGTCAAACTTTTTAATGCTATGACAGATCGTTTTTTCCAAATTTTCTGTGGGCACTGGAAACAATGGTGTCTTTCTTTTTCTCAAGGCACTGAGTATAGTTTACTCAAATCAACTTTGTAAATTATATTTTTCTGATATTCCACATCGTTATTTACTCTTACCTGTGGTATCTGTCAAGGACTGAGAGTTTTGTGCTAAAAAGTCCACTGCTACCTTATTTCTGGCCATTTCTCCCTGGACTAAAGTCAGGTTTTTGCTGACTCTGTGTTGAGGTCTTTTTTTTTTTTAATTTTTTTTATTTTTTATTTTTTAATTTTTTTTTTTTTAAAGATTTTATTTTTTCCTTTTTCTCCCCAAAGCCCCCCGGTACATAGTTGTGTATTCTTCGTTGTGGTTTCTTCTAGTTGTGGCATGTGGGACGCTGCCTCAGCGTGGTCTGATGAGCAGTGCCATGTCTGCGCCCAGGATTCGAACCAACGAAACACTGGGCCGTCTGCAGCGGAGCGCGCGAACTTAACCACTCGGCCACCGGGCCAGCCCCCTGTGTTGAGGTCTTATTATCAATGAAAAGTTTCATAAATAAGACTGACCGTTTGAGGTCTTGAGTTTTACTTGATGAGATATTAACTTTGAAATTAGGCTCTCTTTTGTTTGTTTGATATACTTGAACTAAGCTTGGAATCTCGACCTTTCCGAGTTGAAGGTTTTAGTTCTGCATCTTATAGATATTATGTAATAGATTCTTTTTTTCATAATTTAGAGTCTTTTCCTTTCGCCAGATGAGTTTATCCTGTTTACATTTATTCTCACTGATACTTTGCTTAGTCCCGTCATGCTGAGCTTTATTTTGTGTGCTTTCTTCTTGCTTCCTTTGCCTCTGTATTCTTCGGTTGTCCTTTCAAGACTCACAGGATCTACATCCTTTTGAATAGTGTTATTTACCTGAAAAATTTGATCAACTGTATTACTGTCGTTATAAACTCCAAGAATAAAATATACCCTTTGGATTTCCTCCTCTGAAAATGAGGTAACTGACATTTTTTTTTATTACAATCTCTGCCTCTCCCGGGCTTTCCCTCATGTATTTAAACCCAGTTTCTCCCCAAATAATTATCATTATTATTTTGCATTCTATACCTTGTCAATCAACAGGGACTGACACTTGGGTTTTGTTTAATGTCTGTATTGACAGCTCTTGCTGGGATGAAGCACGGTGCTGGAGTGTGCTTGTTCCCCCTCACTGCCTTTCTATGCTGGGATGGCCTTGGTTGGGGATGTTATTTTATGCTGGGATGGCCTTGGTTGGGGATGTTATTTTATGCTGGGATGGCCTTGGTTGGGGATGTTATTTTATTCTGGGATGGCCTTGGTTGGAGATGTTATTTTATCCCAAATTAAGAGCTGTGACCTTCTGAGATTCATACTGAGGAAGGGTTTGTAAGTCCTACATGCAGAACAGGTGTGTGTGAAGACTGTCGCTCTGTCACACATGAGTAGGTCTGGGCACGACGTTTTAGTCTCACATCCTTCCTTCATCCCTCTGTAGAGTCTGGCTCTGGGGCTCCCACATGCAGGGTGGAGAGAGCCCTGCAGAGGCAGCAGCTGCTAGACTCTTCTGGAAACAGACTATATGAAGGAACCCTACTTTTACCCCTTTTCACTCCCCCCATCATTCCTGTCAGGTACTGGGCAGACGGCTTCTCCTTCAGCTACAGGCCCTCGAGAACATTCTAGATTCCTCCACTCTGCAGCCTCCACCACCTCTCTGCATTTGTTTTCTCTCTTCCAGAATTACGTTACAATCTCTCTTGCAGATTTTCCCTCTTGGTCTTTTTGATGTTATGGGGTTTTATCTTTTTGTTCTTTTACCATATTTTAAGGGGCTCTTGAGATGGCATAGAGATAGACACATGACCACTCTCCACTCTGCACCTGGGAGCCCCCTGCTGCTCCTGAAGACCCCAGCCCTGTGGTGTGCTTGGGTCTGGGGTCTGGATGACCTGGGTCTGGTACATTCCCCCATCTGTGAGCCCCACTCGTGTCATTTCCTCTTATAAAATCAACTTGGAAACCAGGAGAAAGGTCAGGTATCTACTGGTTTAGAAAGAACATGCCAGATGCTGAACAATAGACCCAGACAACCTTGGTTGCGAAGAGCTGTGGATTTCCTTTATTGTTATTAGGTTCCTTGGAGAATTCCAGATTATTAAAAAAAAAAAAATAGTTTCAAGATTACTGTTGGGTACAGAGGGGAGGGGGTGAGCAGGATATTCCAGAGCCTCTCTTTTAGAGTGACTGGTCCCAAGGAGATCAAGGACCTCCACATTCTGATGGTAAATGCATAACTTGGAGACGGTTTCTGCTCCCGCTGCTGCTCGTAGAACCAAGTCTCTGATCTTTGGGCCTAAACTCACCTACAGGCTGAGCTCTGTTTTCTCCCCCCAGCAGCCCCCAGCCCCTCACTCTGGCACGGTGGTGTTTTGCAGGCCCAGGCTCCCAGCGCAGAAGAATGAGGGGAGAGAATGTAACCAAGGTCAGCGCTTTCGTCCTGCTGGGCTTCCCCACGGCCCCCCGGCTGCAGTACGCGCTCTTCCTCCTCTTCCTGCTCACCTACCTCTTCGTCCTGGTGGAGAACCTGGCCGTCATCGTCACCGTCTGGAGCAGCGCCGCCCTCCACAGGCCGATGTACTACTTTCTGAGCTCCATGTCCTTCCTGGAGATCTGGTATGTGTGTGACATCATCCCCAAGATGCTGGACGGTTTCCTCCTGCAGCGGAAACGCATCTCCTTCATTGGGTGCATGGCTCAGCTGTATTTCTTCAGCTCCCTGGTGTGCACCGAGTGTGTGCTCCTGGCCTCCATGGCCTACGACCGCTATGTGGCCATCTGCCACCCCCTGCGCTACCAAGTCATCATGACCTCAGGGCTCTGCGTCCAGCTGGTGGTCTTCTCCTTTGTGAGTGGCTTCTCCATCTCTGTGATCAAGGTCTACTTTATCTCCAGCGCCAGGTTCTGTGGCTCCAATGTCCTGAACCAGTTCTTCTGTGACATTTCCCCCATCCTCAAGCTGGCCTGCACAGACTTCTCGACTGCAGAGCTGGTCGACTTCATCCTGGCCTTCATCATCCTGGTGTTCCCGCTCATGGCCACCGTGCTGTCCTACGGACACATCGCCCTGGCTGTCCTGCACATCCCCTCGGCCACTGGCCGTTGGAGAGCCTTCTCCACCTGTGCCTCCCACCTCACCATGGTCACCATCTTCTATACAGCCTTGCTTTTCATGTATGTCCGGCCCCAGGCCATTGACACACGGAGCTCCAACAAGCTCATCTCTGTTTTGTACACGGTCCTCACCCCTATCTTGAACCCGTTGATCTATTGTCTGAGGAACAAAGAATTTAAGGATGCCTTGAGAAGGGCTCTGCGCTTTGGTCAGGCTCCACTGTAGAAGCAACGCCTTGGAGCTCCGCTCTTCTAGAACGTCATCTGAGAATATTTACCCTCTTGATGCTGCCATTTAATGTGTAAGAATGGAAATTCCTTCTGTCATGGTAGTGCTTCGTGTATTTTAAAAACTACTTCCACATCTGTTTTTCCCCTTCAGCTCCTGATGGTTAATATCACATGGGTTGGTGTGGTAGTGTCTTTTCTTCATTTCTTCATTTTCTTTTCTTCGTTTTGTATCTGAGCAAAGTGGAACTTGGTGACCTTTCCTCGTCTTTAAAATTACCCTGCACATTTCAGGAAACAGCAAAACATACCAGGTCATCTGAGGTTTTAAAGTCCTAAAATAATTGCAGTGTTTGAAAGAACTGAATTCTGGAACAATGTGGTGAAATGAGCTCCAGGTGTCCCCACAGCAGAGCATGTCTGGGAGTTTAAGGACCTCGGGACTTTTGCTTAAACACTCAAGGCCTGTTCTCCCTATCGTCTTTTTTCTTTGCATAACCCCCCCACCTCTCACCCATCAACCACTGAGAGAATAAGAAGTGTTTTGTTAATGTGTGAGGAGATCCTGGTTGACCCGCCGTCCACGCAGATGCCTGGGCAGGTGGGAACCACACCTGGGGACCCTCGCAGGCCAGAACAGTGCCTGGTGGGCAGTCGACAAACATTTGTTGAATTAATGCCCCAAGATACAAAAAAGAGGTTCTGTCTGTCTGCAGGGAACAACCAGGAGTTCCCTCAAGACCCTAGTCTTATGCCCCACGGAGTCCTGCCCAAGGGTCATGAAGAGGAGCTGGTATCCCTAGAATGAGTGCTCTTCAGGGGTGGGCACACTGAGTCAACACCTGGGGCGCCCCTGGATCAGAATCTCAGGAAGTGGGCCCAAAGGTGTGCACAGCCCCTTAAAACATTACATATCTTTTCAGACGACTCTGATCATCTCCAGAGTTCAAAAATCGGTCTATCAGGCAATTGGGGACAATTTAGAGAAAATTCAGCAGGCACCCACATAATCAGCACTGGATATGGAAACATGGAGGGAAGGCGGAGGGCGTCATGGAGACCACCAGACAACCTCAGGGCCCAGACTGCTCAGCCCCAGGGGGCTGCTGGGGCACAGACCACCTCTATCTGATGTGGTGCAGGGCCTCCTGGCTTCCCCTCACCATTCTCTCATGGCTCTCTGCCCACCGCTCCCCCTGGATGCCCGTGAGTAAAGATGCACAGAGACCCTTTGTCATCCACTGGTCACTATTAGGAATCGTGTAAAAAGTCATCAGATTCAAACCAGCAAGCAGATGATGCCAGCCCTGGAAGCTCTCACGGTGCCGTCCTGGGGCCGGATTCTGCATTCTGAGTGGATCCAAAGTGCAGTGTGGGACGCTTGCCTTCCATCGTTGCTCATTTCTTTGTTTGTTAAGCGGGTGTATTTGCTATGGTTTGGTGTCCTGACTGGCCATCCCTCTGCGCCAGGCCTGAGATCCATGCTAGAGAAACAGTGAGTGAGACTCAGCCCACTGTGATGACCCTTGGAGTCCAGTGAGGGAAACAGGGCCTGGGTGGACAATGACAAAGCTGGGGCAGGGTGCGAGGTGGGGAGTGCAATGTTGAAACCAGAGGAGAGAGGGCAAACCCAGCCGGGCCATGGGGAGGGGCCCAGGAGGCCTCCTGCACAGCAGGATATTGAGGCCTGAAAATAGGTGCAGAAGAGGAAGGATGCCCCAGGCAAACCCAGCCTCGGGAAGGCCCCAGAGGCAGGATGCAGCGCAGCGTCGTGGAGAGAGGCTGGAGCGGCTGGAGTTCACGGAGGGAGGCTTGGGGGCAGGTAGAGGTCAGCAGGCTAGCGCTCAAAGGCTGTGGCAGGCAGCACCAGACCACGTGGCAGGCGTGAGAGATGGATGGGCTCAGCGAGGGAGGGAGGCTGAAGAAGAGGCTGCTGGAGCTGCCCAGGGGAGGAGTGAGCACCACCTGGACTAACGGGGTGGCATGGAGCGGCCAGGGCGCATCGGAGAAACTTCCGGGTGTTCAAATCAGCATCGGGGGACCAAATGGACAACAGAGGCACTCAAGGAGACGGAGGAGAGGGAGACCCTTTGAAGAGAAGCTGATGAGTTCGGTTTGGACCGTAGTGACGTGGAAACCCTCTGGGAGCCTGATTTTACAGTCGGCAGAGGGGAAATCCCATCAAATGCGAAAACAGGCTCCAGGTCTAGAGGAATTGTACTGAGGCCAGGTGGGTGATGGGACTTCCCTGGGGCTCCGGATGGTGATGGTGTTTGGGATTTGGGAAGTTTGACTTAAGGGAGGAGGCTGACATTTGGGATCAGGAATCTAGCACCGGCCTGAGGACTGGCCTGCGGAGGAAAGACCCTCGGACTCGGCTTTGCGGGAACCGTGTCACCCCTTGAGTGAAGGCTGATGACGATTTGGGGCATCTGGCTTCTTCACCCACGGCCCTCGCCTGCATCGGAGCTGCTCGTGCCCCGTGACATCTTCGCAACTGTCTCTCCCGTCTCAGCCTCTGCCATAGACACTGTGGACCCCGAGTCTTACCGTTCGAACACGAAAACCATCTCTGTCAACTCTGGGGTCCATTCAGGTCTCTGCACATTTGCAATCCAGAGACGACGGGTAAAACCTTCTTCAGTTCACATTATAAGTATCAGCCCACTCCCTGAGTTGACCTGGTTTTGATTCAGTGTAGATGCTGCTTTGTAGTCGAGAATCACAGAATCCTGGGATTTCACAGGGTCCTGAAGGCCCTGGAGCTCATGCCTCCTCTGGACCAGCCAGTGCCCTGCCCGGTGGCCAGGCTCCCGGGTCTCTCTGGCTCTTTTGGGGAGGGCCGCTCTTGACCCTGGGGACCCAGTGCGCCTGCAGCAGCTCCTTGGGCCGGAAGAAGGCCCTTCCTCCCGGTGAGCACAGGGGCATCTTGCTCCATCCCACACTTGGGAGCTGAGAAACCTCTGAAATCCTTCTTTATCTGAAGCACAGTAAAGCTGTTTTCCCACATCTCTACTCATACCGATGGAGGTGTTGGTCCCAAACAGAGAGACTTCGTGCACCCCTCTTAAATGCCACTGTTAGTCCCGCCTCTGCCCAGCCTCAAGGACACTGTTACATCCCGATGTCATCACTGAGCAGCACACTGACTGTCCACTCCCAGCTCGGGGTCCCGCCCAGCATGCATGCACCCTCCTGGGTCTCCTGGGTGCTCTGACCTCCGCTTCGCCTCCTCCGTGTGCAGTGGCTCGTCTGGGTCCTGGTCACTGTTCAGACCCCGTGGCCCCACGTTGTTTCCAGGAGGGTCAGGAAGCCATCCTGTGCTGCTCCACCAGCTGGTCACCCAGGCCCAGGCTCGGCTGGGACAACACTACCTGGGGGCCACATGCAGGTCACAACTAACCAACTCATTCCTTCATTCATTCACTCATTCATTCATCCAAGTGCCCACCATGTGCCAGACACGAATCTAGGCTGTTGAGATACAACGATGAACAAAATGGACAGAAATCCAGTGCTTGTGCAGCTGACCTTCTTTGGGGCAGTAGGGGATACACAAAATAAGTAAGCAAAATGCTCAGAGTGGCATTCAGAGACATGTACTGGGGAGAAAAAATGCAGCAGGTGTGGTCGGCCAAGAAACAACCTCCCAAAGATGGCACGCCAGATCCCTGCAGTCTGGATGAGACCTGGGTCCTTGCAGATGTGAGTAAGCTAAGAATCTGGGGAGGAGGAGGTGGTCGTGGGTTGTCCGGGTGGGCCCTAAATGCAATGACAAGTGTCCCTGTAAGAGACACAGAGGACACTGGACACACAGTAGAGGAGGACCCCGTCTGATGACAGAGGCAGAGAATAGAGGGATGTGGCCACAGGGCCAGGAAGCCTGGAGCCACCAAAGGCTGGAAAAGGCAGGAAGGATCCTGCCGGGGGGCTCAGGCGGGATCTCGGCCCTCCCACTTTTGACTCTGGACTTGGAGCCTCCAGAATGGTGAGAGAATAAACTTCAGTTGTTGGAAGCTGGCCAGTTTGTGGTGCTCTGTTGTGGTGGCCCCAGGACACTATCCCGTGCAGATGAGAACAGGAATGTCCTGGGTGGGTGCAGGGAGAACGTGTGGGTGGGAGACACACTCACATCTGGCAGAACATTCCTAACAGAAGCAAGAGTGAGGAGTCCAGAAGCCCCGAGGCGGGAGGAGGGAGGCAAGCCCATCCTTGGGGGCCCTGGGTGGGACCAGAATGGGGAGTGTCAGAATGAGACCAGAGTGGAGACCCAGACTCCACAGGTCCTCCCCTCTGGGTGTGTGGGACAGTGGAGTTTCCCAGCTGGGGAGGTCTTATGGGGCCTCTGACAGCTGAATGGCCCATACACTGGCCACCCGTGGCAAGGGCTCTGGCTCCCACCCCTCCAGCGTTGCAGATAGCCCACTCCACCTCCTCCCACCGCCCGCCTGCAGGTGGAGGTGCAGTTCCTTCGAAGCGTGGTCTCGCTCTTAGCACAGGCACATGCCTGACCTTTGCTGAATGTATGACCGAGGGCTGCCTTGGAGTCAGTGGCTCCCCAAGTTGGGAGTGAGGCAACACGGAGGTGTGTGGTGATGGAGCCAAACAAGGACCATAGGGCAGGGGCTCCACGGACTTGCCTGGGTGCCCTCAGCGGGCAGGGGCCAGCCCAGCCCCAGAGGCACAAAGACCCAGCTAATTGGCAGTGTGGGCAGCATCATCAGCATGGCGGGGTAATTGGACCCCGGAGTCCCCACCCTCTAGCAGAAAAAGCCACAGCTGTTCCTCTGCAGCTGCTCAATCATCCCGCTTTTCCAGAGCGTGTTTGAACCACGGCTGGACACTGTGGCCAGCCTGGGAGTCACCGGACACGGGGAGAAGCCACTCCCTGCTCCCGCAGGCAGCTGCAGCCATTCACAGTGAGGCTTCCAGAACTCCAGGTAGGAGGCAGCACTTCTTATGCTGATGCAGGATGGTTTTGCTACGAGATTTGAGCATCATGCATACCTCTTATCATGGTGCACTGGGCGTATGTGTGTGTGTTTGTGTGACACCCCTTACCACGCATGCTCTCTACACCCCAGCTTTGAGCAGGGACTGTGCAGAACTCCCCTTTGCAGGTTCGATGTGAGGACCCAGCAAAATGGCTCAAGGGTGCTCTATAAATGGCCCTCGCATCTATGGGTACTGTGCTGAGTACACATCTATGGATACTGTGTTGCACCTCAATTCCTAATATCACACCTGGCCTTACCCAACTGCCTCATGTGGACCAATCAGAGCAGAGGACACCTGCCCCCCATCCTATGCAGGTCCCGTCCAGGTGTTCTGCCAGTTACAAGGGAGGTGGCTGCAGGTGGAGTCAGGGGGACTCTGCTGCAGTACCCTCTCACAGACCCCTAAAACACATCCTTCCTGGATAGAGGACTCTTCACTTTCCTCTCTTGGATTTTCTTAAAGGACCTGAGTTTGCATTTGCTGGTCAGGTGAAAACCTTCTCTCTATAGCATCTTAGAGAACTTGCTTCGAGGAGGGAACCCTGGGCTCCCCCAAACCCATCCAGCCTCTCAGACTCCATGCAGGGACCAGGGAGGAGCAACCACGTTGAAAATGCAGCCATTCTCAAAGAAACGTGGGACCCTGGAGCAGAAAAGACACGAGAGGAAAATACAACGAACTGCAAAGGGAGCCTGGCGCTGAGTTGGTGAACACAGCGGCGTGAATCCATGGTTTGGACGAGTCTGCCTCGTTGTGTGAGATGTAACCTCAGATCTGGGGGATCCCCCTGCACATCTCTGCAACTTGTTTACAAGTCCCAAAGCAGTCCGAAATAAAAAACTTGTTTACAAAGAAAATATAACCATCGTCCTGAGTTCAGGTGAAGTAGGACATGCTCTAAAGGGTCCTGAATTTGCAAATAAGTGCAATCTTTTATTTAACCAATCAACCTAGTGTTAATTAACCAAGTCATGAACGATCAGTTACCACTCTCCAAATAACCAGCACAAACCCAGGGGCCTCCACCATCCTGGGGTGAGGATCAGAGGCCGGAGCCCCCTAGACAACCCAGTGAATGAGCGGAGGCCACTGGTCATTGCTGCTGTTGCTGTAAAGGACGTGGTAGGTTTTGTCTGAAACCGTGGAGACAAAAGCAAGTCTTCCGAAGGTGGTCCTCAACTCGGACCTGCATGCTTGCGTTTTAAGGCAGGAATGGTCAGCACCTGCCAGGGGGAGACTGGCTTTGCATGCAAAGCTTGACCTTGACACGGGATACAGATGTGTCTCTCCAGGGCAAAGCTGTACCTGGAGGCAATTCCTTTCTAGAAATTTCTTTTTCAGCCCAGACCTCTCCCCTCAACTCCAGACTTGTATAGCCAACCACCTACCATCACCATAGGATATCCGAGCAGAACCACACGCCTCCCCGAAGCAGAGCCCCTGGATTATTGAGCTCTTACGTGGTCCTCCCCTGCTCTTCCGACCTCATCAACGTCAGGTGTCCTGGGCCAAAAACCTGGGTCTCAGAGTCACCGCCTGCCATCAGCCCGGCAGCCTGCTTCTTGTCCACGAACTGGCCACGCTCACTGCCTCTGGCCTTTGCACCTGCTCTTCCCTCTGTTTCCCGACTTCCCGGGGCTCTCCTCATCACCACACTCAGACTCCGAGTGAGCGGTACCCCTTCCAGAAGGGCTGGCTCTGCTACTCCCCACTCCTGGCCGTGCGATGATGTAGGGGAGGAAAAAGTTTTCTTGGACTCTCTTAGGATCCCTGGCTGATCTGAAAACTACACTGAGCAAGACAGATGGACAGGAGAAAAGCATACACACGTATTTAATATAAGTTAGACGTAACACAGGAGCCTTCATAAGGAAATGAGGATCTGAAGAAACGGTTGAACCTGAGTATTCTTATGCTCGGTTTCACGAAGAGTGGACAGGGTGGAGGATTACGGTGGGGCGAAGTGTAGTGAACCGCTGTAGCTTAGCAAGGCCTGTTGTCAGCATCCTTCTCAGCATCCTTTTGTCTTCAGAGATGAGGATGCTCCCTTCCTCCGGGTGTAGGGAGGGCGCCTCTCCCATGACCTCTTCAGGGGAGAAGGTGGGGGAGGTCAGAGGGACCTTCCTGCTTGTGCCATTTTCTCAAACTCTTTCATCTTAAAATGTTCAATATGCTGAGGTGCTGTATTTTGGGGTGCTTGTCCTGACCCCATCCACAGTGTTATTCCCCCCATTTTATTACCTCCTGTGCCCCATCTCTGTGTCCACTCTGCCTCCCCAGCTAGAACATAATCCCCATCCAGGAGAGCTGCATCTCCCACCTGGCTCCCAGCAAGTGTTCAAGAAATATGTCTCAAATAAAAGAAAAATAGGCCAGTGAGAAGGATGCAAGAAACTTGCGAAATCCGAGTCATTCTCATGAGAGTCAGCTTGGCGAGATGGGGACTCCCTCCCAGACTGAGACGGGGCGGCCAGGAGACAAAGGCCGGGAAGTGCCCGGGAGTCTGGGAGCCTCCACATCAGCTTCTCAGCAGGCTCGTGACTGTTGGCATGCGCTGGGCACGCAGGTTCTTGTGGAAGATTGTCGTCACGTGCAAATCAAGATGCTACACCTGGGTTATTTTACATGCCCACAGGACTCTAGTGAGCCGTCCTTTCCTGTGGCACCCTCCGTCAGGAGTTCCCCTCGAGACCAGCCCAGGGGTGGGTGTTACGGGGACCTCTAGTCGTGGTAACAGCTCCCATCTGTGGAGTGGCCACCACCTGCAGGCTCTGTTTGAAACGCTCAGGATCCGTTTCCTCCTCATTGCAGGGCGGTCAGGTGGGTGCTGCTGTTCATATTTCAGGGACAAAGACACGGAGGACCCCTGAGGTTAAGTGATGTGCCCCAGGAGTCATCCCAGGGATGGCATGAGGGTAGCAGGGTCCAGGAGCCCAGGAACGGGGCCTGAGGCTGCTTTGCTGGACTGGAGAGGAGAGGAGAGGTGTGGCAAAGGCCGTCACCATGCCAGATGGAGGTGGCTCCGCCAAGGAGCAAGGAGCTCGGTGGGCCAGGTGGGAAGGGCTGAGGGCAGCAGGGAACAACGCACAGAGCTGCCCTGCTGCAGGGGGGCAGTAGATGCAGGCAGAGAAGGTGTTCTGCTCGCAGCTCAGGGCCTGCCCTGGGTGGTGCCGCCTGCCGTCGGGGAGGCTCCATGAGAAGCTGCCTCCATGCTTGTGCCAGCATCCGTCCTGGGTGTTTTGTAGGAAGTGGTCTGGTCAGCCTCCCTGCTGCCTGTAACAAGCCCCTGTGCCTGCCTGGGGGCCCGCCCTGATGCCCCTCCCTGACGGCCACCCTAGTTTAGGGCCCTCCGCAGCTGGGAGCGGCCACACAGTCTGCTCTTCACTGGCCTCCCCAGATGACCCAGTGAGAACAGTCCCAGCTGTGGCCGGGTCGCAGTCACCCACCCTGTGGGTCTGGTCTCCCAGAGCCCAGCTGTGGCCGGGTCGCAGTCACCCACCCTGTGGGTCTGGTCTCCCAGAGCCCAGCTGTGGCTGGGTCGCAGTCACCCACCCTGTGGGTCTGGTCTCCCAGAGCCCAGCTGTGACCGGGTCGCAGTCACCCACCCTGTGGGTCTGGTCTCCCAGAGCCCAGCAGCCCTACCCCAGTGCCTTCTCCACATGCCCCCTCTGGTTCAGTCCAATTTGGGGTTCTGCTCTGGTTGGCTGGTGGCCCCGACCTCTTGCCCAGCCCCTTCCCTTCCTGCTCAGCGTCTGCTAGACTGACTTAAAGGAACCTTCCAGGTCTGTGACAGAGGCTCATGTGGCTCTGGGAGCCGCCCATGTCCCTGCTCTGTGTGTGTCCCCTCAGACTTGGGGGTCTGCCCAGACAGTCCTGTACTAATGTGTGCCCTGGGCTCGGAGCCCTGGGTCTCGCCCCTGCCTGTGCATCCTGCCCCTCTGTCTCCACCGCTGATGCCTGGACCCCATTCCCGCTCCCGCAGTGTGCTTCCTCTTGCACTCCAGCGGCTCCCAGCAGGGGAAACTGCGTCAGCACAAGGCGATACCCAAGGCTTGTTTTCCTTTCTATTTCCGCTCTTTGGTTTGTTTATATTTATCTTTGCCAGAGTGTGACTGTGGACAGTGTTTAAAGCTGAGTCACGGCAGCCCTTCTCCACCAGATTCTTGGGTTCATTCTTCTTCACACACCCGCTGGGTCACACACTTTCAGACCCCCGCCCCAGGCCACACACCGAGGGGCAGAGACAGAGGCCAGGGCAGGTGTGGCTGGAAAGGTCGCAGTGCTGGCTGTGTGGACCCCCAGCTGCATCCCAGCCCCGACTTCCCCACAGCTGCATTATCACCCTTCAGAGCCCCTGGGTCCTTGGCCCCGACGTCTCTCCCTCACTGAGCCCATTCGAAGGCAGTGCCCGGTCCTCCGTCCTCTGTTCTCCGCGTCTCTCCTGACCCACTGCCGCAGCCTTGAGGGCCTCCTCTCCGTCTCCTGCAGAGCATCCAGCCCAGGCTCTGCTCCAGGGGCTGCAGGGGATTCTGCTGGCCTCGTGCCCCAGGGTCCACGCTTCCCAGCCCCGCTGCAGTTGGCTCTGGTCGGGAAAAGAGGGACATCTCCGTGTGAGTGGGTGTGTGTAAGTGTCTGTATGTGCAGGTGAGGGTGCGTAAGCACGTTTGTGAGTGTATATATGGGTGTGTGTGAGCAACTGTGTGTATAGTGTGTGTGTAAAACTGTGCAACTCTGTGTGTGTGTGTGGCTTGGGGTGGGGTGGGAGCAGCGGGTCACACCCCCGGAGACTTGGAGACCCTTGCTCCCTTGCAGCAGCTCTCGTGGCCCTGACACCTCTTCCTCCAGCGAGGGTGGTAGCATGACCACGTTTAGAACCGGCTGCCTTCTCCGTGAAGAAGTCTCCGTGCCGGGGCAAAACACAGCAGAGAGCCAGCACCAGCCTGGCCATCTCAAACATTTAGGGCGAAGATTAGATAAAATAAGCCTTTGTCTTCATTCGTTGTGATTGAGGTGGTGGCTGGGGAAGCCAAAGTGCACGTTTGCTTGTTAAATGAGGCCCCGCAACTGACACCCGAGAAGAAACCAGTCAGGCTCCCAGCTACCCTCCCGATGGGCTGCAAACGCCCTCTTTTATCAAGTCCTAAACAGCGTTCCTCTGCGTACCCTCCCTCCCTGTGTCCTGCTGTGTTATTAGATCCACATGCAACCAGGCAGGGCCCTTCCACTTGAAAACATGGCCAGTAAACGTATCATTGCTCTTCCCTGCTGCTTGTGGAGCCAGGCATCCGATTTGGGAACCAAAAACACCTACAGGCTGAGCTGTGCTTTCTCCCCGCAGCGGCCCCCAGCCCCTCACTCTGGCGCGGTGGTGTTTTGCAGGCCCAGGCTCCCAGCACAGAAGAATGAGGGGAGAGAATGTAACCAAGGTCAGCGCTTTCGTCCTGCTGGGCTTCCCCACGGCCCCCCGGCTGCAGTATGCGCTCTTCCTCCTCTTCCTGCTCACCTACCTCTTCGTCCTGGTGGAGAACCTGGCCGTCATCGTCACCGTCTGGAGCAGCGCCGCCCTCCACAGGCCGATGTACTACTTTCTGAGCTCCATGTCCTTCCTGGAGATCTGGTATGTGTCTGACATCATCCCCAAGATGCTGGACGGTTTCCTCCTGCAGCGGAAACGCATCTCCTTCATTGGGTGCATGGCTCAGCTGTATTTCTTCAGCTCCCTGGTGTGCACCGAGTGTGTGCTCCTGGCCTCCATGGCCTACGACCGCTACGTGGCCATCTGCCACCCCCTACGCTACCAAGTCATCATGACCTCAGGGTTCTGCGTCCAGCTGGTGATCTTCTCCTTTGTGAGCGGCTTCTCCATCTCTGTGATCAAGGTCTACTTTATCTCCAGCGCCACGTTCTGTGGCTCCAATGTCCTGAACCAGTTCTTTTGTGACATTTCCCCCATCCTCAAGCTGGCCTGCACAGACTTCTCGACTGCAGAGCTGGTCGACTTCATCCTGGCCTTCATCATCCTGGTGTTCCCGCTCATGGCCACCATGCTGTCCTACGGACACATCGCCCTGGCTGTCCTGCACATCCCCTCGGCCACTGGCCGTTGGAGAGCCTTCTCCACCTGTGCCTCCCACCTCACCGTGGTCACCATCTTTTACATGGCCATGATCTTCATGTATGTCCGGCCCCAGGCCATTGACACACGGAGCTCCAACAAGCTCATCTCTGCTGTTTACACAGTCCTCACTCCAATAATCAACCCTTTGATCTATTGTCTGAGGAACAAAGAATTTAAGGATGCCTTGAGAAGGGCTCTGGGCTTAGGTCAACCTTCACAGTAAGACAATTGAAAGTCCTAGAATCTAATCTGTGGAATAATAAAATAACATCTTATATGGCACTTTATGCGCTTTAAAGTAAATAAATGAAATTTAGCAAATCTACAGGACAGCACACAAATAATAAGCTTTATCTGGATGTGTTTTCACAAAATGACCAGATTCATGTAACCAGCGCCCAGATCAAGAATTAGAAGCAACCCTCGCACCCCCTGTACCAAGATTACCACTACCCTGACTTCTAACCAGATACTAGTTTTGGTGTTTTTGAGGTTTTTATGAATGAAATCATGATGGATGCTTTTATGTTCAGCTTTTTTCATTCAATACAATGCTTGAGTGAATCATTGATGTTTTGCATGTAGCAAGAATTCATGCATATAACATATAATATTCCATTGTACATTTCGGCATTTTCCTGTTGTGGACAGTATTACGGATGCTGTCTATTATGGATGGTGCTGCTGTAAACCTTCTGGTCCACGTCTTTTCACTATTGTAGGTTTTGTGAGCAGTGTGCTCAGCTAGACCTAGGTACATGCAGGCCACCCCTATAACTGCTGCAAAAGAAACTGCAAAACTGTTTTCCAAGGTGGGTGCACCAATTTTCACTCCCACCAGCAGTGTATGAGAATTCCAGTGGCTCCATGTCCTGACCAGCACTTGGTATTATGAGTATTTTTCAATTTAGCCATTCTTCTGGGGTTGGAATGGTGTCCCACTCTGACTTTAATTTGCATTGCCCCTGTGACAAATGCTGTGAGCACCTTTTTAACATTTAGAGGTTTTCTCCTTTTGGACATGCCCTTTCTAAAGTACCTCTTCAATCAAGTGTTTTCTCTATACTTACATTGAGTCTCTTTTTCTTTTTAACATGGAGGAGGTCTTATATATTCTGGATACACGCCCTCCGTTGGTTATATTTGTGACAAAAATGTCCTAGGTTCTGGGCTTGCTTTTTCATTCTCTTAATGGTGTCTTTTGATGAAGAGTTCTTTATTTTGATGTACAATTTGTCCATTTCCCCTTTGTAGTTAATTGTTTATTTTTTGTTTAAGAAATATTCGCCTACTCCAAGGTCATGAAGATATTCTCCTGTTTAATTCTAGAAACTTTATTGTTTTACCTTTCATGTTTAGATTTACAATCCATCTGAAATTAATTTTTATATGTGGTATGAGATACTGGTCAAAATTCATTCTTTTCTATACGGATATCAAATTGACCCAGCACCTACCGTTTATTGAAAGGACCATGCTTTATGCTCTGTGATGTCACCCTCTTCATAAACCAAATGGCCATTTATCTTTCTATCATCCATCTATCTATCTATCTATCTATCTAACCTATCATCTATCTATCTGTCTGTCTATCTATCTATCTATCTAATCTATCTGTCTATCTATCTATCTATCTATCTATCTATCTATCTATCTCTCTATCATCCATCTATCTATCCTCTATCTATCTATCTATCTATCTAATCTATCTATCTATCTATCTATCTATCTATCTATCTATCTATCTATCTATCTCTCTATCATCCATCTATCTATCCTCTATCTACCTATCTATCTATCTATCTATCCTCTATCTATCTATCTACCTACCTACCTATCATCCACCTATCCTCATCTTCTTTTGGACTCCTTATTCTGTCCCATTTGTCTATTTGTCTCTTCTTGCACCAATACCATGCTCTTGTAATCACTATAACTTTTCATATATCTTGATATCTGGTCATACGTCTTTCGTCCTTGTTCTTGTTCTTCAAGATTTCCTTGGTTATTCTTAGCCCTTCCCAGCTGAGGGGTGGGAGGATATACATTTTAGAATCAGTTTGTCAATTTCAACAAAAGAAAAATTTGTTAGGTTTTTATTGGGATTGCTTTGAATCTATAGATCATTTTGGAGATAACTGTCATCTGTACAATTTTGAGACTTTTAATCCAAGAACAAAGCATATCTCTCTATTCATTTACAACTCCTTCAATTTCTCAAAACTGTTTTGTGGTTTTCAGTGTAGGGAATCTTTCACATCTTTCTGGGTATTTGAGTTTTTTTTAAAGTTCTAACACAAATGGTATCTTTTTAAATTTTTACTCATTTTTAATTTATTTTATCTCATTTAGGTCATAACAGTTTATAACATTGTGAAATTTCAATGTACATTATGATTTGTCAGTCACCATATATATGTGCCCCTTCACCCCTTGTGCCCACCAACCCTCTTCCCCCTGGTAACTACTAAACTGTTCTCTTTGTCTGTGTGTTTGTTTATCTTCCACATATGAGCGAAATAAAAACATGGTGTTCGTCTTTCTCTGTCTGGCTTATTTCGCTTAACATAATACACTCAAGGTCTATCCATGTTGTTGTGAATGGAACAATTTTGTCTTACTTTATAGCTGAGTGGTATTCCATTGTAAATATATATACCACATCTTCTTTATCCAATCATTAGTCGATGGGCACTTGAGTTGCTTCCATGTCTTAGCTATTGTGAATAATGCTGCAATGAACATAGGGATGCATAAGTCTCCTTGTATTGTTGATTTCAAGTTCTTTGGATAAATACCAAGTAGCAGGATAGCTGGGTCATATGGTATTTCTATTTTTAATTTTTTGAGAAATGTCCATACTGTTTTCCATAGCGGCTGCACCAGTTTCCATTCCCACCAGCCGTGTACGAGGGTTCCCTTTTCTCCACAACCTCTCCAACACTTGCTATTTTTTGTCTTGGTGATTATAGCCATTCTAACAGATGTACGGTGCTAAGCATAGTTTTGATTTGTATGATTTCCCTGAGGACTAGTGATGTTGAACATCTTTTCATGTGCCTATTGGCCATCTGTATATCTTCTTTGGAAAAATGTCTGTTCATATCCTCTGCCCATTTTTTTGATCAGGTTGTTTGTTTTTTCATTGTTCAGTTGTGTGAGTTCTTTTTATATCATGGCTATTAACCCCTTGTCAGATATATGATTTGCAAATATTTTCTCCCACTTGGTGGGTTGTCTTTCTGTTTTGATCCTGGGTTCCTTTGCCTTGCTGAAGCTCTTTAGTCTGATGAAGTCAGACTTGTTTATTTTTTCTTCTGTTTCCCTTGTCCCAGCAGATATGGTATTCAAAATGAGCCTTTTAAGACCAATGTCAAAGAGGGTACCGTCTACATTTTCTTCTAAAAGTTTTGTGGTTTCAGGTCTTCCCTTGAAGTCTTTGATCCATTCTGAGTTTATTTTTGTGTATGGTGAAAGATAATGGTCTACTTTCATTCTTTTGCATGTGGCTGTCCAGTTTTCCCAGCACCATTTATTGAAGAGACTTTCCTTTCTCCATTGTATGTTCTTAGCACCTTTGTTGAAGATTTTCTGTCCATAGATGTGTGATTTTTTTTTCTGGGCTTTCAGTTCTGTTCCATTGATCTGTGTACTTATTTTTGTACCAGTACCATGCTGTTTTGATTACTATGGCTTTGTAGTATATTTTGAAGTCAGGGATTGTGATGCCTCCAGCTCTGTTCTTTTTTCTCAGGATTACTTTAGCTATTCAGGGTCTTTTGTTGCCCCCTATGAATTTTAGAATTCTTTGCTCTGTTTCCGTGAAGAATGCCATTGGGATTCTGATTGGGATTGTACTGAACCTGTAGATTGCTTTAGGTAGTATGGACATTTTAACTATGTTTATTCTTGCAATCCATGTGCATGGAATATCTTCCCATTTCTTTATGTCACCATCAATTTCTTTCAGTAATGACTTATAGTTTTCATTGTATAGGTCTTTCACCTTCTTGGTTAAATTTATTCCTAGATATTTTATTCTATTTTTTGTGATTGTAAATGGGATTGTATTCTTGAGTTCTCTTTCTGTTAGTTTGTTATTAGAGTATAGAAATGCAACTGATTTTTGTAAGTTGATTTTGTACTCTGCAACTTTGCTGTTGATTATTTCTAACAGTTCTCCAATAGATTCTCTAGGGTTTTCTCTATAAAAAATCATGTCATCTGCAAACAACGAGAGTTTCACTGCTTCATTGCTTATTTGGATTCCTTTTATTTCTTTTTCTTGCTTAATTGTTCTGGCCAAAACCTCCAGTTCTGTGTTGAATAAGAATGGTGAGAGTGGGCACCCTTGTCTTGTTGCTGTTCTCAGAGGGATGGCTTCCAGTTTTCCCCATTGAGTATGATGTTAGCTGTGGGTTTGTTATATGCAGCCTTTATTATGTTGAGGTAATTTCCTTCTATATCTATTTTATTGAGAGTTTTTTTTTTTTATCATAAATGGATGTTGGATCTTCTCAGATGTTTTCTCTGCATCTACTGAGATTATCATGTTGTTTTATTCCTCATTTTGTTAATGTGGTGTATCACACTGATGGATTTTCAGATGTTCCCTGCGTCCCGGTTGATCATGGTGTATGATCTTTTTAATGTATTGCTGTATTCAGTTTACCAATATTTAGTTGAGAATTTTTGCATCTATGTTCATATTGACTTGTAATTTTCCTTCTTTGTGTTGTCCATGTCTGACTTTGGTTTCAGGGTATCAGAGCGATGTTGGCCTCATAGAATAGGTTAGGAAATGTTCCCTCTTCCTCAATTTTTTGGAATAGTTTGAGAAGGATAGGTAATAAATCTTCTTTGAATGTTTGATGGAGTTGTCCCAAGAAGCCGTCTTGTCCTGGACTTTTGTTTTTTGGGAGGTTTTTGATTACTGTTTCAATCTCTTTACTTGTGATTGGTCTATTCAAATTCTCTATTTCTTCTTGATTCACTTTTGCGAGGTTGTAAGAGTCTAAGAATTTATCCATTTCTTCTAGATTGTCCAATTTGTTGGCATATAGTTTTTCATAGTATTCTCTTATAATCTTTTGAATCTCTGTGCTATCTTTTGTAATTTTTCCTTTTTCATTTCTAATTTTATTTATTTGAGCTTTCTCTTTTTTTTTATTAGTGAGTCTGGCTAAGGATTTGTCAATTTTGTTTATCTTCTCAAAGAACCAG